GCTTCCCCCGCAGCCCAGCCGGGAAATTGCCGCCCCTCACGCCGCGTGGCGCCCCCCGAGGAAGCTAATTAGCGCAGCCCGGGGAGCTGGGGACCGGGGACCTGGCCCCGGGGGGCCGGGGCCCGCCTCTTGAGGGGGGAGCTCCTACAAATTGCCGCACCCCACCCCCATCTCTCCAGGCGCGCACGCAGCCCGGCGCGGGCCGGGGCACAGGGCGCAGGCGGGAGGTCGCATCTGCAGCTTTGGCGCAATGAATCAGGCGCGGCCGCCGCCGCCGCTGCGGAGCGCGTCTGGCATCCGGAGTCTCCCGGGATCGAAAATAATTTGGGCAAAGCGGTGGGAGGTGTGTGCGCGCGCGCTCCGAGGGGAGGGCGGGGGAGCCGGCCGGGCGGGGTGCGTGGGGCTGGGGGAGGTGCCATCCGACAGCCCCGCTGTGGTGAGAACGGAGTTGACACTTCTTTCCTTTCCACTTACTGCGGCAAGTACCGCGAGGAAGCTTAACCCTCTCACTGCTTTGAGGATCAGAGGCGCTGGGAGCTCCCTCATGAGGGCGCGCCAGAGTTGGGGGGGACCAGGTGTGTAGCTTCTTTTGAGACCAGTCACTGCGGTCCGCTGGGTTGAGTTCTCTGGCTTCTCAGACTGATGCAACCACCTGAATGCTACTTATGACATCCTCCTCGAGGCTTTTCTCTCCACACCTCCTTTTACCTTCTCCAGACCTGGCTAGTGTCAGCTCTATGATCTCAATTTCCCCACCTATACAAGAGAGTGAGGGTTCTTCTGTAGCAGCTTCCTTATCTGTATGGTGACTGTGGTTTTGTGACCTTGTGGCTGGGGCACTGGGCAGAGACCAGAGTGGGCGGTTAGGGCAGCGGGTACAGGAGTAGAAACTCCACCTTCCTTCATCTCCCGCCCGCACTCTGGGCGCCCTTCATCAAAATGGCCGAGTTCCTGTTTTTGCCTCTGACGGCAGAAATGTCACCGCTGCTGCATTAAGCACGCTCGGTGGAAACTTGGTTTGGATCGAGGAGCTGGCGCTCAGCCCTGCCAAGCTGCCTGCCGCAGGGGGGTGGGGGTGAGCTGGCTGGCCAGTAGGCCTGGCTGGGGTCAGCCTTTGTCTGTGCCTGTTCCCACCTCACTGCCTGTCTCTCCAGTGCCCCTAGGCTCCCCCTCCCTCAGCTGTGCTGGTTGTTCCCACCCCACTCAAGATTTTTTGGGAAGCATCTGTTCAGGCCCTTGTGTGTCTGGTTTAGGGATGGCAGTGGGAGATGACGGAGGGGCAGAACTCAGTTCTTCCTCTCCACCCCATGATGGGGAGTACCTCTGGCATTCACTAATTTTCTCCCCATTAGATGAGGAGTTGCCCTTTGGATGAAGAAGGACTGGTAGTCAGGCCTCAGAGCCTCCCCAGCCTTGTGACCTGAAGTTCCCCCAGCAGGATTTGAACGGGGGGGGGGGGCTTTCCACTTTCCCCTATATTCCTTCCTGCCAGGGGATCCCACCAACTCCAGGAATTCTCAAACCTCAGTACACAGCAGATCACTTGACATGTGAGCTTGCAGATGTGGGAAGAGAGGGGATGCAGTATGTGGAAAGTCTGATTCTGTGGTTCTGGGATGGTCCTGTCATCTGCATGCTTCACAAGATGCCAGGGGAGGCTCTGGCTCTCACTCTGAAGCATGACCCCCTCACCTAGGAGTCAGATCTGTGAGTCCCACAGAGCTTGCAGGCCACAGCAATTAGCACTCTCTTGCACAGACTGGGAGATGGAGATAGGAGAAGGGACTGTCTAGATCACTCTGTAAGGTGGGGGTTCCATGGTTGAGGATGTGGGCTCTCCTGCCTCTATTAGTCAGCTGCATGCTGGAGGGCAGGTGAGCTAAACCCTGTGCCTTGCTCTCCTCGGTTGTAAATGGGGATGACACTGATAGTCCCAAACCTCATGGAAACAACGTGTGGCTTCAGTGGGACAGTGCATGGAAAATGTGAGTGCAGGTCCAGGTACTTAAGTGCGTGATAAATGTGAACCTTTATCATCATTGTTATCACTGTTAGAACCAGACCTGGAACTCAGGTCTGGGGTTTAGACACTAGTTTTGAGGGTGGAGAATCTGGCCCAGCTGTTCCTGGTTTCCCAGGTCTGTTCCTTCAGGGAGTCACCAAATCTTGGGCAGAGAAGAGTGAGTATAGGGTAGGAGTCAGTCCCCAGTGGGGTGATCTCAACTGTGTGATCTCTCCACCACAAGCCTTAGTGCTTTGGGCCTTTTTCACTCTTGGAAAGTATTGCTACAGCTCCAGCAGTTCCAGATGCCCATTGGGCACTGGCCTGGTTAGTGCCTGAGGGCTTGCCCCCTCTCCCACCCTGAGACCCAGGTCCAGCCATGCTTCTTTGTCAAGCATCAGATCTTGTGATGGTGGGAAAGATGCCAGGTGACTTAGCACCTCCTCCTCACCAGGGCATGGTGGTGGGACAGGGAGTGTTGATGTTGGGCATTTTGGGGGCAGGAATATGATAGGATTAGGACACCCAAATTGGAGAGGTCTTTGAGAATGGAGGAGCACACCTCCCCCCTTCGGAAAGGCAGATTCAGGGGGAACTGAGTGAGAACACAGGACCAATTTGTGTCTAGAACACAGGGCTGCTGTCTGTTTTATTCAGGGGCTGTAGGACTTACGGTTTCTGAAGTGTTCCCCAGGGATGGTGGTTAGAATGTTGGAAGGACTTCCTGAAAACCAGAGCTAAGCACTGGAGAGAGTTCTGGGGTGGTCTCTGGGTGCAAGAGCATTCAAGTCTGATATGGGGAAGGGATATGTGTCAAGGCTACTTGAGGCTGGCAGAAGGGTGAGATGACTTCTCTGAGCTCTTTCTTGGGCTGTAAGCAGCAGAGGTCACCAGCGTTGGGCCCTACTGTTCTCTCATACACTTGCCTACACATCTACACTTGCTCAGCCACACTCATCCAGACTTATACTGGCCCATATGTTCTCATGCCCCCACATGCACATTCATGCACCCACAAACATTTGTGTACACACATGCTAAAACACCACATATGCGACACACACACACACACACTTAGGCTTGAATTCACACTGGTATGCACTTGGGCTCCCAGATGCACAGACCATAACATACATGTGCACATTGAGACTCATGTACACACACATGTGCACACATGAGCAAACCCCTAGGCATTTGCTCTCCCGTCAGCTAATTTGTGTGTATGTAGATTGTCTGTTTGCCATGAGAATAGGTCTCTCTTTGTTCATACCAAGTAGCCTGGAGAACAGAGATTTGTTCAACCTCAGGGGTCACATGCCTGGTATTTGGACAGTGTACTATACAGTATTATCTGGAATAGGGGAGTAAATGTAAGTGTATACAGGAATGTATGAGTGAATAATAACCATAGTAGTAAAAGCAACTACCATTTATTAAGTTTTTGCTATGTGTCTAATCCTGTGCTAAGTGCTGTTTTTACAGATAGCGTCTCATCTAAGCCTCATAGCAACCTATGAGGCAAATACTATTATAATTCCTGTTTAGGCCTTTGGGAACTGAGGCTCTGAGAAGTAGTCACTACTTGTATCAGTTTGCTAGGGCTGCTCTAACAGAGGACCACAGCCTGGGTGGCTTAAAGAATGGAAATTGATTGTCTCAGTTCTGGAGACTGGAAGTCCAAAATTAAGGTATCAGCAGCCTCCTTTTGAGGGCTATGAGTGAAGGAACTGTTCCAGTCCTCTCTCCTTGATTTGTAGGTGACCATCTTCTCTACGTGCCTTCATAGCTTCCCTCTATGTGTGTCTGTGTCCACATTTCCCCTTTTTGCAAGGACACCAGTCATATTGAATTGGGGCCCACCCTGATGACCTCATTTTAACTTGATTATCTCTGTAAAGGCTCTCTCTCCAAATAAAGTCACATTCTCAGATACTGGGGGTTAAGGATGTCAACATATGAATTTTGGATGGAACGTAATTCAACCCATAATGCTACCCAAGGCCACAAATCTAGGAACTAGGGTGAGCAAGATTTGATCCTGGATCTGGAATGTCAGAGTCCACAGTATCACCCCTCTGTGTGGTGCAGAGTATGTGTACGTGTGTGTCCTAGTGGTCACTCTCCATGGCTCCCTATCTCCCACCAGCGCGTGGGTATCCAATGCTTGCATGCATGAAGGTGTTGGCCTTTTGCAGTTCTGGCTCACCGGCGTGCTGGTAGTTTTAATGCTCCTCCGGCTATGATATGGGCACCCAAAGCCATCCCCCAGGACCCTGGTGGCCAGTGCTGCCTGATAAGTCAACATTGACAGGAGTGCCTGGAGATATACACAGGAAGCCGGGGGGCTGCCTGACTCCCCTCCACCAGCTGCCATCTCGGATGCGGATGCTGCAGCCTCATTTCAGAGTCTGCTGGCTTTGAAGCACTCAGCCCAGTCAGGCGGGAAGCTGGAGCCAGTGTGGGGGCAGGGGGGCAGTCACGAGGCCTTCCTGCATCAGCTGGGGCATCTAGGACCAGGCAGGCCCCATGCCGACCTTTGTCCACAGCCTGAACGTCTTCTTGTGCTGCAGGGAGGCGGGGGGGGGTGGTGCTGGACCTCAACCCTTCCTGTGCCTCTGAGCTTGCCTGGGAGGGGATCAAAAAAGAGACCTCGTGCCCCCCCAGGCCAACGAGGGAGACAAAGCCCTCAGCCTTAATCCTATGGGGAGCCTGGACTTCAGAGACATGGCCTCTGCCTTCACGGAGTTTTCAGCCTGAAAAGTCCTAGATTTTCTGAGCCTCATTTTGCCAATCCAAGAAGTGGGGCTGATGGTCTAGTTTGCTGTGAATGTTTTAGGGGTTACTATGGTAGAGGAGGACCAGGATTAACATGGGCATCATACCTCACGCATAGCTACAGTATTTAGGGGGATGGTTGTGATGATGGTGATGGGTAATACTTACTGAGCACTTAACTGGGCCCCAGCTGAGTGCTAAGTGCACTCTTTACCTAATTATCTCATTTAATCCTTCTGAGACGTCTGGGAGGCAGCTACTATCATCATTGCCATTTTTAGAATGAAAAACTGAGGTTCAGTGAGGTGGACTTGCCCAAGGTCACACAGTCAGAGTGTGAGGGAATGGAGGTTTGATGCTGCTCTAAGGTTTCCCAGCAGACCCTCCAGTTGTGTGAAGATGGGGTCTCAGGGTGGGGGCCTAGGGGTGAATCTCTCCCAGGGCTGGTAATGGCACTGGTTCTGGGGGTCCCACACTCGGAGCCTTACTCTGGCCTTGGTGGCACTTGCTGAGGTGTGTCCATGATGATGATGATGTGTATCCTTTGTCAAGGTGAAGCAACCACCTGCCTCCACACTTTTGAATTTACTCCCCCCTGTGATGTCAGCAAGGTGGAAATTATTCTTATTTTACAGATGAGAATATTGAGACTCAAGAGTGTTGGAGTCAGTCTCCTGAGCATGTCAGAAGAGCTGGGAGGTCTTCCTCAGGTCTCCTGACTCCAGGTGGATATTCTTTCTGCTAGAGGCAGGTAAGTGTCCTCAGGTCCTTTCAGAACAAAAGCCCTCCTGGTTCCCTTTCCCACCGCTGGGTTGCGGACACTGTGACTGAGGCTAGGGGCAGGTGAGGGAGGAGGGTGCAGATTCCCAAGAACCAACTCCCAGCAGCAACACCAGTGTTAACAGTTAACGTATACCGAACCCTCGCTTTGTGGTAGGTGTGGTGCTGATGTGTGTTTGTGCAGCCAGTGCCTCAGGCAGCTGCTGCCAGCCAATACAAGTAGGCATAGGAATTCGCTTCAAATAAGCCAATATTAGTGAGCACCTGCCATGAGCCAGGTGGGCCAGAGGGATGCGAGTGAGAACAAGGGCAGTACCTGGGAGGCATCTAGATGTGAGACGATGGTGATAACATACGGGAACGACTAGACTGTGGGGACGCAGGCACGGGGTCCCTAGTGTCTACCTGAGGGGCTAGGAAAGCTTTTTCAGAGGAAGTAATATCCAAGCTGAGCACTGAGAGTTCAGTAGGATTTAGCCAGATAGAGAAGAAAGGGTGGCAGAGGAGTTCTAGGCTGGGAGAACAGCCTACAACTACAGAGGCCTGAAGGTAGGAGGAGAACAGTCCATGTGAGGAACTTCAGGAGGCTAGCTGTGCCCGAGGGTGAAGTGTGAGGGGTGAGGGAGGGCAGGTCAGTGATTCAGAACACTGAGACCAGGATAAGGGGTCTGGTCTCAACCCTGTGGCAGGGGACCCACTGATCCAGCTTCCTGTCCCCTCTTCCACGTGGGACTTTCCTCTCTTCAAGACCCTCTCACATCAATCAGATTCGCCCAATACTTATGAGCAGTAGGTGGAGCAGGGGTCACCATGCCCATTTTACAGAAAGAGAAACTGAATCTCAGAGGTTATTGGGTTGGTCCGCTTTAACTGGTAAGAGGGGCATTGAGCTGGGGCCCCAGACCTCTTCAGGCCAGCGCTAAGCCCAGAGCCTGAACTATTTGTAGGATGTCAGTGTGGATTCTGGGATGATGGTATGGTGTGCGGTAGAAGCACAATCTGGTCTGGGGAAGCCCTGGGGATGGAAGGAGGGCGGGGATTCCCCCCACCCGAGCTCCAGGTTGGAGAGTACTGCCGCCTCTTGCAGTCCATCCCCAGTGGCTGGCTAGGGGTGAGTCAGTCTGGATGAAGTCACCCACTTCCGCGCAGCCTGTGCCCCCTGACCTGGGAGGCGCCTGCCAGGGGCACCAGCCGAGCCAGAGGACGGGCTGGGCAGCTCTCCAGGTCTCTCCGTCGCAGCTGATTTAGGGGGGCTGGAGGTGTCCGGAGCCATCAGAAGCAGCTGGGCGTCTGGGGCTGTGAGGCCCATAAGTCATGCCGCCACCCGCCGTTCCCTGCAGTGCTCCCCGAGAGGTCTGTGATGAATCGCCGGGGACTGGGCTCATCAAAATCAGTTTATGCCAAAGGGAAATTAATTTCTGTCTCTCTGAGATGGGGTGTGGGGAAGGGAAGGGCAGCTCCAGAGGCAGGCCTGTGACAGCACTGCAGGAAGGGGAGGGATCCTATGGTGTGACTGTGGTGGTCCCTGATTAGAGGCCCTGCCCATTCTCCAGAGGGGGTGACTGAGGCTTCAAAGGAGCCTCCTAATCCTGGGGACAAGGACCAAAGTTTTGTTCTTTATTAATTCTTTCTCTCCTCCCCGCCTATTTCTGTAAGTATTTATTGCACACCTGCTGTGTGCCAGGTACTGTTCTATGGTGTGGACACAATAGTGCACAAGACAAAAATCCTGCTTTCATGGAGCAGACGTTCTGGTTGGGTAAGAAAGACAGACTGGTAATAGATAGATAAGAAAATAACAGTTAGGGAAGAGTGCTGGATGAGCATTAAAATAGGGTGATACAGCCAACTTACCCAGCATGGTCTCTAGCATAGTCAGGGAAGACCTCTCTGGAGAGGAGACAGTTAAGCTGACTGTTGAGTTTCAGAAGAGGATAACCTGTCAGTTGTGAAGCAAATTTTCTGAAAATCTAGTGCTTTGGCAGCTGGGGCTGGGGTAGGAAGAGTGCGTTTCAGGGGAGTGAACCAGCTGATGTAAAAGCAAGCAACTCCCCTCCAAGCACTCCTCTCATGAGGCCAGGCTGATGACTGCCGCCACCTGAGCCGCTCAGCCTGGGCCTGGCTGTGTGGGTGGCTGGGGGACAGGCTGGGGAAATCGCTCTCCTTCCTGGACTGTCTCTGTTACTAGGGGAAGAGTTCAATAAGTTAATACGTTATTTTCATTAGAAACAAGCCTAGATTCCTTATAGGAAGATTCACAAGACTATTCTTTAAAGATGAAACAGGAGATGTCAGAGAAACGTGGGGTGAGACAGCCGGCCCTAACTCTAGGATCTGTTTTCTCTCTTCTTGAACATTGGGGCTCCTTTGTGGTTAGGTTTGGGTGGCTGGGGCAGTCTTTTCCCAGCCCAGCTTGAAGCCCTCCATCAGGAGTCCTCTGTGGCTCCCCATTTCCCAGGAGCAAGAATGACAATTTCTCAGTTCTTCAATGATTACCTTAGGCTAGGCATAGTGCCTGTCTGAATCCTCAGAACAACACTGTTAAACAACTATTATTATTTTCATTTTATAGATAAGGAAACTGAGGCTTGGAAAGGGAAAGAGACTTTTCCAAGGTCCTATAGTGGTCAGTGGCAAAGCCAGGATTCATACTCACAGCCCAAGCCATTAATCATCACTGCTTCCTATGTAGCCATATCCTCCCTCTTACCTGCTCTTGACCCACTTTTCCACTGTCCTATGTTCCACAGACCATGCAAACAGCCTCTTTGCCGCCCCCCAGGCATGCTGTACAGGTTCTCACCCTAGAACATTTGCATGTGCTGTTCTCTCCACCTGGAGTCCCCTGTCTCCCTATCTCTGTTGAGACCCTAATCATTCTTCATGGTTTTGTTCAGCTTCTCTTCTTTTGTGAAGTCATGTGCTTTTTCCCACAAGCAAGAGGGCTGCCCTTTGTCTCTTATGCCTCACAGTTCTATTTGGGAAATTCACAAGACTGTTCTTTAAAGATGAAACAGGAGATGTCAGAAAAACCTTGGGTAAGACAGCTGGCCCCGACTGCAGGATCTGCTTTCTCTCTTCTTGAACCCTAGGGCTCCTTTGTGGTTAGGTTTGGGTGGCTGGGTCAGTCTTTTCCCAGCCCAGCTTGAAGCGCCCACAAAGTCTCCATCATCATAATAATAACAGTAATTAATTTTTTGATATGGGCAACTGGCCTTTTCATTTTATGTAAAGCACTTTTGGAAAACTTTACTGTTTTTATTGATCTGTAACCCATTATTTAAGGACAAACAGCTCTTGCAGCACATGCAGCTTCAAGCAAAGTCCTGAGCTCCCTTCCAAACAGACTGCTGCCTGAAGTCCTTCCTGAGGAGAAATTTGGGAGCTCCCTCTGTCCAGCCGCCCCACCAACTTCCACCATCCCATGGTTATGAAGGAAGTTCTCTGGAAACCCTACCCTTTAGTGGCTGGGGTGGGGGTAGGGGAAGACCCTATCTCCTTTCCAGAGGGAAGCATTGTCTCCGGTCATCTTCACGGGGGTAGAACAGGTCTGAACAGCATTAGCAGAAATATGGGCTGACCCAGGGGCAGGCAGGGAAGTCTGCTTTGAGGCTGGGGAGGGCTGTCCCCAGAAGACCAGTGAGGCCTCTGTCCCAAAGACCTGTAACCTTTCCCACCCACTCCTCAGGGTACCTCTCAGGCCAATTTCAGAGCTGAGAAGACAGACTGAAGTTCCAGTGCCAACCGCACCCCCGCTCCCCCCCCCCCCGCCTCATCTTGGGGCTATTTCTCTGGGGAGTGAAGTTGATCCTACTTTATAAGTACAGAGACAGCCAATGGGAGTCTTCGGCTTTGTTGAGTCTCCTTTTTGGGCCACAGCTGACGGAGATGGAGCTTCTCAGTGGAAAATGCTGTGTCCAATGGGCAACCCTGAAGTGTGAGGTTCCTGCAGTCTCTCTGGCCTGCTGAGTGACCAGGTGTCCCTCTCCACTGGTTGGGGTCTGAGCATCAGTTTGGAAACATTGAGTAGGAGCTGGAGAAACTATTCAATAGTTTGGAAAATCGGATGTAAAAAGAGAGAAATGGGGCACAGATCATAAGAAGGCTCTATCTTTTCAGTTCATTGCACCTAAGGATTTCACGAGACATTTGCCTGGAGGGACACAGAGATCTGGGAGCAGCTGGGCCTCCAGGTGTCCCTGTGGGGCCTGGCAACCCCTCCCTCCCCAGTTTTCCACAGCCCCCTGTAGTCAGGGACAGCAGAGAACTTGTCATGAGTGACAAATAGATGGTGTGTGGCCTTGGGAGGGGAGAGAACTCCTTGAGTCTTTCCAGACAGCCCCTACCTCCCCTCCCCTTGGGTGCTGGGAGTCCAGCCGTCCTTATTGAGCTTACGGTTATTCAGTCAACAGTGTTTCCTGAGGGTCCCTGTGGCCCAGGCTTGTGCCGGGAGCTGGGCCCCTTATCCTCCCCAAAATGTGTCCCCTCAAGGGGCTCACCGTCAACAGAGGGGAGCCCCACCAGTGGACAGACAGCTCATTCCATCTCAGACATTTGAGCGTGGTGATGCTCACAGCAAAGGTCCCTAATCTAGTCTGAGAGACCAGGGAAGGCTGCCTGGAAGTGACTTGCTGGATTCCAGTTAGAGCTCCACCACTTACTAGCTGTGTGACCTGGGAAGAGTTCTTTTTAACCTTGCTGTGCTTTACTTCCCTCCTTGTTAAAGGGAAAATAATACCTACTTCAAAAGGTTGTTTTGAGAATTCAATGAGTTACTACCTGTAAATATTCCTGAGAACAGTGCCTGCTGCACAGTAAGTATTCACAGTAAGTGAATGTTAAGTGAAAAATAAAAACAACTACCATTTGGGTGAGTAGGACCCGGCAAGCTGATGGATGGGAAAGAGTGCCCTTGCAAAGAGAACAAGGGCTTGGAAGTGGGACAGCAGGCTCCTCCAAGGACCTCCCTTC